TGGGGTGAGGAGGCGCATTACCCGCTCCATTGGTCTGACGCCCTCACTCCTGGTGAGTCATGAAGCCCTGAGCCACAGGTTCTCGTAGGTGAACCGGGCATTGCCCACGCAGCGGGGAGCACCCGGATAGACTAGTTGGCTAATAAGCGTTTCTTTATTATAATAACAGGATTGACTTCTGCTGTGTGGATTACTGAGAGATTTCCTGTGGGTTGTCTTCTAGTTAAAAAAACAAGCAAACGTTCTGGTGGATTTTACAGCCTCTCTGGAGGGGGAGGGAGAAGCCATCTTCAAAGCATATACTAGATGTGACTCTTGAGAATCATACCCTAGTTAAAATCACTTGTGTGGCATTGACCCTGAGTGTCCTATTCTTAACTGCTGTGCAGTTGCCTTTCTTACTTTCAGAGAGCTAAGAAGGTCCTGATTATTCTATTTTTTGAGTTGTTGTGACTTTTGATGCATGAACTGTGTCATGCCTTTATTTTCTAAAGGACTTTCTCTGCTGTGTGTATGTGGAAACCTTTTTTTCTTACCAAACCAGCACACACATAATTTTTCCCCTTAGAAATTATTTTGTTAGGGTTAAGAAATATATTGTCTTCGGGAATGACCGTCACAGCCAGAACTTTGTGGTTTGCGAGTAACCACCGGTCACGGCACTTCCTGCTGTGTAAGTGGGGTGTTGGGAAGCTCGGCGGCTCCCTCTGTTCCAGGTGTTGCCCATCTAGCGGCTGTAGGCGGATGGGTGGGAGGAGGCGGCACCGAGCGGAGCATAGGACCCTGATGTCTCCGCGTGGCCCCAAAGCCCGCGGACAGAGGAGCCAACCAGACCAGAGGTAGCGCTGATGCCCGCGGCCCCTAGCTTTTCTGATCGTATCCCCTGTGTGAAAAAGTATTTTAAATAGAGATCACCCTACCCCCATATATGTTAAAATACTCATAAATGATACACGTATCACCCTCCTCAGCTGTTGATACATTCTAAAGCATATTTTAAACAAGATATTATGAAGGATTAGGAAAGACGCTTGAAGATGCCTACTCTCTCCTCCTTGTATCCCCCAAAATTGTCTTTATGTGGCCCCACCTTGGAGACCACTGCGCATGGGTCAGCTGTGGCCACCACAGCCCAGGTATCGTTTTTAACCAGACTTCTTGTCCTAGCCCAGCCTGGTTTGGGGTAGAATTTGGAATTTCGGTAAAGTGCACCCGCAGAGTGGCTGATGCGGGCCGGGGCCTGGCAGCTGGGGCCCTGGCCCTCGCCCTCGTGGTGTGTTGGGAGCCGAGTTTTCCCTGTTCAGTAGTAAGTTCCTGGGCTAGAGGCCCCAGCCACGCTCTGCTCGAAGGGCTTGGTGGGCAGCGTGCAGGGGCAGAGCTGCACGTGTGAGCGGCGGCCGTCACCGAGTTTGTACACGGCTCAAATCCAGCGTTTGCCTTTCGGAGACCCGTGGTTTCCTCCGTAGAAACGCAGTCGGTAAACGGAGGCTCACCGTCGGGGTGAGAAGTCTGGTCGGTGTGCTTTTCCAGTTTTATTTATTCGAGTCCCACTGTTGCCAGGAGGGACCAGGTGTGCTTGTGTAGCGATCTGTGCTTGTCCCCGCTCAGGCCGCGTTGGCCAGGAGTTCCGTGGAAGCTGCGCCCCCAAGGTCAGGGGTCGCTTAGTGACTCCTGTGACTCTTAGGCCTCAGCCGGGTCACAGCATCTTGGGAGCCAGGTAATTAGTTCTCAGCAAGATGACGAAAGAAAGGAAGGAGCAGTTTGATTTCTTTCCTACCAGGTGGGTTTCCAAAAGGCTGTGGTCATGCCCTTAGGGACAGTCCTCCAACCCTCCCAGCTTCAGGGACATAGCAGCTCAGCATTCTTAAGCTGGACATGTTCTTTCAGGGCTGCTGCTTTCTAATGTGTTTTTATATAGATTGATTTTTAAAGAGAGAGGAAAGGAGGGAGAGACAGAGACAGACAGACATCAATTTGTTGATCCACTTATTGATGAATACATCAATTGATTCTTGTATGTGCCCTGACCAGGGACAGAAGCTGCAGCCTTGATGTATTGGGGCAACGCTCTAACCAGCTGAGCTACCCAGCCGGGGCCAAGTCTGCTGCTTCCTAGAAGTCAGGAGGAGCTGCAAGGGCCTCGAGCCCCTGAG